TTGTTAGTTTATTTTTCACCTCTTAGTGTCTTAATGCCTTTACCAATCACATAAAATTTGATGTATATGTACTATAAAGGGTAAAAAAGAATACAGGCTACGTTTAACCACGGTCAGTGAAAATATTCGTTAACGCGGACTACATCTTGGGTAAAAGTTAGTTTCCAATAAAACAAATTATTTTAAATTTAATCTAATAAATAAATATCTTACATAAGGGTTGAGGTCCCAGTAAATGAATGCTAAGGATAATGGAGGGGGCTTAAATTAAATAAAAACTCATAATTATTTAAAGTCTACAAAAACCAGAGGGAGACAAACACTTTGTACAAAAGTCGATTGCTTGGGTACCTCTGTCCTATTCGTGTTTCAACCGTGAAGCAGTTGTGTTTGCATAGCTGTGTTTCGGTTTGAAGAGTGGGATATGGCGTGAATTTACTGGGTACAGAGGAATAACACCTATACTTTGTTATGTCCATGGTATTGCTCATGTCTATAGGCGACGGTTACCACTTTCCATCAGGTGGGCCGTCAGCTTGTTTGCCATTCTAAGTTGTATAAAAAAAGGAACGTTAACAAACGCAGCGGCTGAACGCGCAAATTCCTCACGTACATTTTGCAAGTTCTTCCATCCCGCATATATTGGGAAATGACGTGGTATTATGGAAAATATCTTCTCTCTCGTACACCGAGCGGCTCATTTGCATTTCAAATCCATATGTCTGATTGATCTTTATCTTTGTACCTATGGTGGGAGTGGTGTTTTTTTTTGTATACAACTTAGAATGGCAAACAAGCTGACGGCCCACCTGATGTAAAGTGGTAAGCGTCGCCTATAGACATATTCAATACCGGACGAAATATTTATTTATGTATTTAATAAATATTCATAATAATGTACTAAGAATACCAGTTTATAAGCACCATAAATGACATCAGAGGGAGACTTTGTACAAAAGTCGATTGCTTAGGTACGTCTGTCCCAATTTTGTCGTGCCGTTTTACTGGGTACAGAGAAATAACATCTGAGCCCTTAGGAATGGCAACGCATGGGGGGTATCATTGGCAAAACAGTATACTCTGTTATGTCCATGGTACTGCTCATGTCAGCTTGTTTGCCATTCTAAGTTGTATAAAAAAAAATACGAACATCTTCTTTTCAAAGTCGGTTAACAATAGCACTGAAAAAGTATCGCGTATCAAAAGCCAAACGAATGCGGGCTTTCAACGCGCAAACCGGAGTTTCAAATAAGTTCCCCGATATAATTTGACTTCGGCCACAGTTTAATGGGTTCAGTTTCGAAGTTATTTCTTAAGGTGAAATTAAACTGTTATTAAGTATAAGGAACAAACTAGTTAATTGTGTTAAGTTGAAAACTTGACACCAAAATATTTTCACTCGGTTTACTTCTTGTGGGTGAAGTTTGAAGCAGCTTCGTTCTTGTAATGTTATAAAACACAGGGGGCAAACGAGCATGCGGCTCACCTGATGGTAAGTGACTACCGCCGCCCGTGATCACTCACAACACCAGCGGCATTGCAGGTGTGCTGCCGGCCTTTTAAAAAGGAATATACTCTTTTCCTGAAGGTTATGTTGTCGTATTGGTTCGGAAATACTGCTGCTGGAAGTTGATTCCAAAGAATGGTTGTGCGTGGAAAAAAGAGTTTTGAAAAACGCACGGTGGGAGACCGCCACTCAATCTGTTTCTTCTTTTAGTTGTCTCAAATGTAATGGGAAATCGTTGGTATTACATTGCCTTTTGTCTTGTCCTTCATTGTTCTAATAATACATAATTCTGAATATATATTTTTCATTCTAATAATCGCATTATATATTCGACGATTTACAACAGAAATCGATTGGAAAAAAAAAATCTCGTTCCTTGATTATTTATTAGTTTATTTTAGCGGATCAAAAATTATTTCTTCTCAAATATCACAAACGGAAAAGGAACAAATCCGTTCAGCTGTAATATTACTGTTCGTAGCCCGTCAACACACTTGACCTCTTTTTCGAGGTAGAAAAAACACTTCTCTTATTAAATCAACAGAACCCGAGTCCCGGAGTGGTGGCGACAAACACGATCTATCTTGATTAGTTGCTCAAATTTCATTACCTTCCACTCTACAGTATTAAGGGGTATTCATATTACATCGGCCGGAAATGCTACGACGCAGCCTTCAATAAATGACAATAATAATTGCCACACAATTACACTAATCAAGATCCTCAAGTAATAATGAATTTTGTTATGAGAAATATGCCAGGGAATATCTTAAATGTGAAATATTCAAATTTGAGCCAATTTTAAACAAGTATGACGTTTAGAAAAGCAAATAAGAAAATAGTCCATCTGATGGAAAGTGGTAACGTTCGCCTATGGATATGAACAGCACTGTGAATTTGAATTCATTTGAATTTGAATTCATTTATTTACTAGAATAAGGTACATTTTTATAGGTGTTACATTACAAGAAAATTTTGTCCAATCTTATTCTGCCACACTGTAGGCGTGCAAATATTAAAACTTGTTATTAGTACCAGATGGAGACTTTTGAACTAAATCTCCATCTGGTACTAATACTAATTGGTGATAATACTAATTTAACACTTCCTTAGTAACATGCAAATAATTTGGATTCCACCTTACATTTTTATCTAAATTATTATGCGACATTTTCTCAAATCTGAACATATATATATATATATATATATATATATATATATATATATATATATATATATATATATATATATATATATATATATATATATATTTTGACACTTTTTGTATTTATATACTTACTTATCCATTCACGTCAATTCAGTATAATATAAATTCAATAAAAATATACACAATTATAAAGATGATATATCTCATGCAATGCCATTCCTAAGAACTATGGTGTTATATTTCCATTCCATTCCCTGTAATTTTAACGTCATACTCCACTCTGAAAATTGAAACGCACCCATGAAATACAGCTGCTTCACGGCAGAAACATAGGTGGGACAAAGGTACTCATGCAGACTATTTTTCTACAGGCTCCGTACGTTGAACTAAATTAATAATAGTAATAATAAGTGCCAAAAATCACACCTTCTGGCATGTGGTCCCGGCATAGAATGGGCCATCGCTTCCTTTCCTAATGCTATAAGAGGCGACTAAAGGAATTTAATAGTTGAAGGATGAGCAGCAGCGTCCTTCTTTCAATATCTCCAAAGCCTAACTACATTTGCCAACCTGCCTACCAAGTGTAGCAACTACTGGCAAAATTCTCCTTATGGAAAAGGCTTCTGTTTAGCAATGGATAATTAACGGCTGAAGTAATAAATGCCTCAAAATCACACCTACTACCGTGTGGTAGTCGTAAGATACGATTAAGTGATTGTATGGTCGAGGGATGAGCAACAGCGTCGTTCTTAAAACATCACCAAAATCTAACTGCGTTTGCCAAACTGCCTGCCAAGCGTGGCAACTACTGGTAATACTCTCCCTTACGGGGAAGGCTTATGTTCTGTAGTGGCCAATTAAAGGCTGATATATACCGGCTGGTAGTACAAAAATAATCGAATACTAAAAAAGATCGACTCGGCCCATCACTAGGGACAATTTTTTGTAAATTATCAAATGTGAATTAGAAAATTCAACGGTTTGACAGCGCCGGTCGTAATATGAACAGTCCTTTACTGTCTTGAACGTCCGAAATATTAATTAAAGGAATTTAATGTGAAATTTAAACCTAGGAAATTTACGATGACGTTTGATAATGAAGAGTTATTAATAGAAGAAAGGAAGAAACATTAAGTGCAGAGAGACGAATTAATCAGGCACTAACCAGAATGGGAGAGAGTCAGTGGATGCAGGTGGCTCAGGACCGTTCCTTATGGCAGTCTATAGGGGAGGCTTATGATTAGCAATGGACAGATAAGGGTAGATATGACGATGATAACCAGAACAGTCTCCAGAAGAGACCGCGTGGAGGTCGAGCCGAAAGTTTTGTTCCGGCAACGGAGCGTTAGTTTCTGTTACTGATAGGAGGGGGGTGGGGGTGGTAAGGCACTATTATCAATGTAAATAAATATAATAATATATAAATAAATATTTATTCATAATTAAAAAAAATAATAATTTGAAAACTTGTAAAAATTATCATGTAAAATGTAAAAATGGCATTTTTTATTTTATTTTTCCAATACAAACTGTTGCTAATTTTAATATTTCAATAAAATCCTTACTAATTTATAATCCTTACTTACTAATATAAATTTGAAAAGGAGTTTGTTTGTTTAGAAAGTAAAGTAAAGTCTTTGTCTGTAAAGATTTGTTTAGATTATATAGATAGAGTGTCTCCATAGAAATGCATCAAGAAAAACGGGTCAACGATTTCATACAATTTTTCATGATAAATAGTTATGAGTGATTCCTTTATTTCTATATTTATTTTGTCTTATAATCTCTGCGTCTTTTTAATACTTAAACATTTATTTTATTTATTAAATAATACGTCAAGATACATTGTATGTGTAAGTATATAGAACATTGATAAAAAAATGATTGAAAAACTAATTGTCAAACAAAAAGTCGACCCGTTTTTTTTAGGTCTTTTTGAGGTTTGATGCTCTATCTATATAATGTAAGGCATTTTGATATAAACGTAGTATATATATGAAATGGAGAAAGACATAGGCTACTTTCTGCCTCGGTCAGCAAACATATCCCGGTCACGCGGACGAAGTCGCGGGTAAAAGCTAGTGGCATATATAATAATTCACTTTGGATTTAATATGAAACAGACAAATAAAACTTCTGGAACCATATCTCAATATTTAGATCTGACTCACCAAATGGCATGTGTGGCCAGTATTACATTCAGCATTTTCCTGAGAACGTTTAAAAAGAGACGGTAATATATATCCGTGCGTGTTGGCCACTGAAAACGTACACCTTTGCAGTGGTAGAGAACGAAAACCGTAGACAGTTTCAGCGCTAACGTCGCCGTGGGGAGACCGTTTCGCTCCCGGACTCGCGCGCGAAACACGTGCGTTCGAATTATGAAAATTCAAAATTGTGCAATAAAAAAAATATATTAGATCGTAACTTTTTAAATTCACCGGCGGGCGAAGGGATCCGCGTGTGTAGTGCCATAAAAAGTTTTGGTCAGAACCAACCAAGTGTTGTTAAAACAGTGACTTTGTCGTGGTTGCCAGAATATTAAGATTAAAATAAACTTAGAATATTTTAGTCGAGGACGCTGTTAAACTATGCCGTTAGCCGAGTTGCGACAGTTCGCCGGTCAAATTAATTGGATACTGGCGATTTTTTAATGTAAGTTCTTTTTTGTTAACACCGTAATTAAGTTGACGCTACTAATAAGTCTATTAAAAATTATTCTTTTTTTTTTAATCAGATTATTTTAATGGTAATAGGAATGTATAAAAGAAGAAAGAATTTATTCTTGGACTCATTTGACTCTGTAATAAATAAAACGAAAAAAAAAATACAACTATATAAGTAAATACAAAATTAGTAAACAAGAGACTAATTAAAAATACATACAAATATTTTCATTCAAAACAAATAATTTGAAATAAAATTTTATCATAACCTATGTTGGAAAAGTTTCACGCATTTTATCATAGTCTTATAGAGTTTTGAGATTTTCATAAAATAATCTGTAATTTTGACAAAATTTGTGCAGCACAGATACGGAATGAATCATCGAAATAGGTTTATAATTGACGAAGATAGATGCCACTGTCAATGTCAAAATGATAGTGTGTAAAATTTGGTAAACAGTATACTCTGTTATGTCCACGGTACTGCTCATGTCTATATGCGACGGTTACCACTTTACATCAGGTGGGCCGTCAGCTTGTTTGCCATTCTAAGTTGTATAAAAAGAAATTATAATTTTCTTCATAGTTCATTATATTTTTCTTTTTTTAATTGGTGATAATTATAATAATAATAAAGTCTTTATTGCGCACAGTAGAGATGTATACAAGGAGTATTTATACAGAATGTGCATATACAAAAGGCGGACTTATCGCTAAAAGCAATCTCTTACAGACAACCTGGTAATAGAATAGTAACCCCGCCCGCGCTATCGGTATACACTGGCGGGGCACCAGTGAGAGATGATAGGTGCATAATGAAATAGCAGATCATAACTGACCTCATCTCATCGTGATGAATAAATACACTTGGAATTCAGCACGGTGGTTTCCAGGGGGGACCGCGTGGAGGTCGACCTGACGGGGTATATTGCTAGCAACGAGGCTGGTAGCCCGCATTACTACCAATCCCTTTCCCCCCTAACATTCGATATTTTTTTTTATTTATTAAAAGGTATACACAACAGGTTACAATCAATAATATTATAAATATTTATATAAAGATAATAGTTTGAACTAGATCGAGACCCAGACACGTGTACACACAGCATGGTTAAAGCAGTCGGCGAACAATGTTAAATTATAAAGTTATATAAAGAGAGGGAGACTTTGTACAAAAGTCGATTGCTTGGGTACCTCTGTCCCATTCGTGTTTCAACCGTGAAGCAGTTGTGTTTGCATGGCTGTGTTTCGGTTTGAAGGGTGGGATATGACGTGAATTTACAGGGTACAGAGGAATAACACCTGAGTCCTCAGGAATGGCAACGCATGGGGGTATCATGGGTGAAATAGTATACTTTGTTATGTCTATAGTACTGCTCATGTCTATAGGCGACGGTTACCACTTTCCATCAGGCCGTCAGCTTGTTTGCCATTCTAAGTTGTATAAAAAAATATAAAGAAAGCATATGAATGTGGTAAATAACAATGAAGTACATGCAAATAATAAAAATACATAAAAATATGGACATGTCAAAGAGACTTAACGGCTGATTGTAAAATTATAAACATTAGGCGAATAGCAACTATAGATTTAATTTAATTAAATAAATAATTAAATATTTAATTAATTAATTAATTAAATTAAATAATTTAAGTAATTAATTTAATTAAATCTATAGTCGCTATTTAATTAAATTGATTTTTAATTAAATTGACAGTTTTAATATAAGATTTCAAAGATTGTTAGAAAATATTAAGGCCCTTACACCAAATTATTATATTTTCTACATAATATGCAGATAATTAGATTTTTTTAATGGGTAAAAGAGCATGGTAACTCACCAGTGAGAGGTGATAGGTGAAGATGAAAAGGCAGGTCAGTTAGCCCATTGTGACGAATTCAACGATAAATTAGTCGCGATAGTTTCCAGCGAAAACCGCGTGGAGGTCGATCTAATAGGATATATTGATAGCAATGGGGACTAGCCTCCCCATTACTAACAATCCCTACCGCCCCGGATAATTGGATTGTGATACGAAACGTTATTATTACAAATCGGTATTTAAAATAATTTTTGTACCCTTTTATTACCTGTACAAAATGAAACAAGGCTCAACAATGTGCCAGTGTCCCATTTGTGTATAGAAGTGTAAATAAATCTATTCAAATCTTTTAATATCCGGCCAGTTGTTCTGAAACTTCATTGAAAACAAAACCTCACAGTTTCAGCAAATTAAGTTGTGAAAATTGTTACAGTAAACATAGATTCTGAATAGGGAAAGTTCGCGTAACTGCCACAGTTATGTCCCCAGAGATGATACCGGAAATCTACTGTAATAATTTATTTATTTATATTTTATAGTACGGGTGGGTAATAAAATATATAACAATATCTGAATATTTTAGTTGCAATATCTATGTACTGGTCCTATAACGAATATGTTAAGTCTGTTAGTAAAAAAATAATATTGGATAACAGACTTTTAACCATATTCGAAATTAGATATCCAACCGATATGGGCGATATCGAAATTGGCAGATACCAGTGGGAGACTTTGTACAAAAGTCGTTTGCTTGGGCACATTTGTCCCATTCGTGTTTCAACCGTAAAGCAGTTGTGTTTGCATGGCTGTGTTTCGGTTTGAAGGGTGGGACTTTTGTACAAAGTCTCCCTCTGGTTACTTAATAGTCGAGGGATGGGCGGCAACGTCCCTCTTAAAATATCACAAAAGCCTAACTGCGGTTGGCAACCGCCTGCTAAGTGTGGCAACTAATGGCAATATCCCCCCCCCCCCACCCAATAGGAGGAAGTCTATGTTCAGCAGTGGACAGTTATAGTCTGATATAATAATAATAATAAATCCTACCTTTCAATCTGAAACACAACTATGCAAACACAACTGTTATCTGGAAAGATATACTTACAGTTTTGTCGTATGAAATTTTTATCAAAATCGGTTCAGCAGTTTAAATTTTTAAATTAAAATAACAGATTTTTCCACAATTTGAAGTCAGTTTTGTTTTTATGAAACACAATATTAATTACAATATGATTGATAGAGAAATGGGTATGGCAGAAGAAGCATGAAAGTAAGATAAATGCTGTAGAGATGAGAGCTTTGAGAAGTATGTGTGGTATTAAATTAAAAGATAGAGTAAGAAACAGTGTGATTAGAGAGAAGTGTGGACTGAAAGACGATGCAGTGACAAAAATCGAAAAAGGAATGTTGCGTTGGTTTGGTCATTTGGAGAGGATGGATGAAAGAAGAATTACGAAAGAGATTTATCGAGCAAGAATGAATGGAGATGTCGGTAGGGGCCGCCCTAGACGGACGTACATATGTCGACCAAATAGGCGACGTGCTGAAGAAGGGCCAAATTAAAAGTACCCGTAACCGGCGAGCGTGTATGACAAGATTGATGAATGTGGATGAAGCGAAAGAGGTTTGTTTGAATCGAAGCATTTGGCGTTCCATTGTTTCTGCCTACCCTAATGGGAGACAGGCGTGACAGATATGTATGTATATATGTATGATAGAGATAATTTTTCATAGTACAATCCACTTGTTCCTTTTTTATAACTTCACTGTATTGTACTAGGCCTTCGATTATTTCCTACGATATTAAAGACGAGGGAAAAGAACTATATATGATGTATTCGTGTTCTCTCGTACCGGAACTTGTAACGTCGTATTTCTTATGGCATGACGTAATATCTAACGTCAAATGTAGTTCATAACTTACCAGTACAACAACAAGATTATAATCCTATTAAAGTTGTTTGCCCATATTTTTGGTTAATACTATACTTAGATGATAAAAGATTAGTGCCAGAGAATAATAATTCATATTATAGAGTAATAGTCATATTACCAGAGGGAGACTTTGTACAAAAGTCGATTGCTTGGGCACCTCTGTCCCATTCGTGTTTCAACCGTGAAGCATTTGTGTTTGCATGGCTGTGTTTCGGTTTGAAGGGTGGGATATGGCGTGAATTTATTGGGTACGGAGGAATAACACCTGAGTCCTCAGGGATGGCAACGCATGGGGGGTATTATGGGCGTAACAGTATACTCTGTTATGTCCATGGTACTGCTCATGCCTATAGGCGACGGTTACCACTTTCCATCAGGTGGGCCGTCAGCTTGCTTGCCATTCTAAGTTGTATAAAAAAAAATTACTTATTTACTAGCTTTAACCTGCTACTTTATTTACATCATCGGTATATGTTCACTGACCGGAATTGAAAGTACCTAGCCAATGTCCTTCTCTATGCCATATACTACAATAGTAACCCAGCCCGGCTTCGCACGGACAGACAGAATTTTTGGACAATAATATGTAGCCTATGTTTAGACCATTTAAAGAGGAATAATTCTTTCATACATATTTTTGGGTAACTTGAACCGTCTAGCGCACACGCAATGGAAGCCCTAAAATATGAATAATTTTCCCCATTTTTGCAATATTTTTCACTGATGCTTCGCTCCTATTGGTCGCTGCGTGATGTTATATAGCCTAAAGCCTTCCACGATAAACTACTTCACGGTAGAAACACGAATGGGACAGAGCTACCCAAGCAAACGACTTTTGTACAGTCTCCCTCTGGTAAACTTTTGTGAGAAAGAACACACAATGATCTTTTATACCAAAGAAACAATAGTTCAGACGTTACCCATTTCATTTCTTTCGCTTTTAAAAATCTACGACATCTTGAAACTTATGGCTATAGTCCCAAAACACTGTTACTAAGGTATTCTCTCAACATCATCAATCATTCAGCACATGTATATAATAAAATCTTAACTGGTTGCTTTCTGTACATGGAAGATATATAAGAAAAACTATTATAAGGGGGCTTTGTGAACGCAGTAGAACCCGAAACGATGATTATTAGAATTTTCGTCTGTAGGTTTGTGTACGCTAATCTCAGAAATGGCTTAACCGATTTGAATGCGGTTTTACCTGCAGTTTCTTCCACTTAACAT